GACACGGGTGTGGGTGTGAGTAGGCAAAGAAGTGATGGACATTCACAGTCACTGCATCTTCCACACTCACATACACAATCGCACCCACACTCACACCCGCCCACAGTCACACTCGCATCCACACTTACACTCACATCCATAACCCTATCGCGGACCCAAGTGTCAGGGGAGCAACTATTGTTGAAGAGCAACTGTCGCTGAAGAGCACGTGTCGCGAGAGCAAGTGTCCAGAGAGTAACTGTCACGGGAGCAAGTGTTCGGGGAGCAACTGTTTCGGGAGCAACTGTCGCGGGAACATCTGCCTGGGGAGCAACAGTCGTGTTACCAGAAATCATATTTCTGTAGGAGGCTGATCCCATCACCTATTGATCTTCTTCCTTTTTATAGAAAAATAAATAATAAATTTCACTTTTGTTTGCTGTAGAAGAAGAACAACAAGTTCTTCAACGTTCCGAAACATTTATAATTTCAAAAGTACCACAAGAAGAATTATCTTCGTCTTGTTCGATGACAGCTGATGATTATACTACTCAACATCAACCTATAACTCGAACAATAGCTCCAATAACTTTAACTAATGTTCGTCCTTCAAGACTTCCTTCATGTTGTTCAAATTCAAAAATACAATCATCAAATAATAATCGTTCATTATCAACACAAAAAATGTCAAAATTACCAATTCGTAAAATAGATTCATTAAATCAACAACAAAATTCAATTAAAAAATCTAATATTCCAACGTCTATAGGTGCAAAAACAAAGAATGATGTAACTTCAGTATCTAATCGTTCTACTACTTCAGCAAATAATAATAATAATATAATAACAAAAAAAACAATTCGACCACCATCAATTATTCAACTCCCATCATATAAATTTCAATCTCGTTCAACTGCAATACCTGATAAAAATAATACAAAAACAACAACAGAAACCATAAAATCTAATGATCCTATTCAACAAATGAATTCAACATCAAGTGAATCGAGTATTGAAGAACAACAACATATAAATAAATTCCTATCAATTGTACAAGATGATGGATATTCTACATGGTCATCTATTGATGTAAAAGATGATCGAATAACAAATAGTATAAAGAAAAATGAAACTAATGATCAACAACGAAATATTGGACTTATTACAACTTGGCTTGATACATCGAAAAGAAAATGTTCGAACAAATCAGTGAACGAAGAATGTATGTGTTAAATTAATAATAGTAATACGATACGAATTCTTTTTAGACCAATGACAATACCTATATACACCATTTGACTGCACTATGGAGTGCTGACTAGTGACATATTCAACTTCATTGCTTGAGTTCCCCGCGACGTACTAATTGCAAGAGAGGGTGTATGTGACAACGTGGTTAGCATGCTATCGGACGCGTGGTTCGAGACAAATAGCTCTTAGTGACGTATCCAGGATGATATCATGGTTGATGGTTTTGAGGTTTGCACATAGTACCTTGTAAATATATGTCGAGCAATGTAGCCATTCAGCCATGACGGCTCAACAAGTGTGTGACATAAGATTGTTTCTCCTAACGTATGTATTTTGAAAAATCCTAAGACTATATTTATATATTGTTTATGATATTCTTCGTTCTCTTATAATTAACATAAAAAAATAATTACATAGAGAAGTTTACAGAAAACAAAAGCTCTTCTTCAAGTATTATACATTCTTATGAGGTCGATTATTTCCATTTGTCTTTATCACTAGACTGTGTAATTAATCGTGAACAAAGTAAGATATGATGCAAAAATAATTGGACAAATATCGGCTCTTATTTTTCTTCAATAGAAGAAAATTTTTTTTGTTATCAGAAGATAGATAAGTTTTTTTCTCTTTCGAACTGTAAATAATTTATTTTTATCACATGTTCATCAATGAACTGAAGCAATAGTAAACAAAAAAACACATCCAAAATAAGTCCATATTTTTTATATCATGTAGAATAACAATAAAAAATATCAAGTTTTATATCTCTTTAGTAAACATGTGTTAGAACGAGAATGTTTTATTTTCACTAGATAATAGGAAATTTTCTGCTCTCTTGAATTTTCTATAGCTTAATTTCATTATGCATTCATAAATAAAATAACACAAGAAGAAAGAAAAATGCTTGCAAAACAAATTTACCATTTTTCTTTTATTATTAATTCATCAAATAAATCATATAAAACAACAGTTAATTATTTATAAAGCAAGGCATTTTCAAGGACAACAATTTTTTTTTATGTATTTAGTAAATATTTGGATTATTGGAATGATCGTTGAATAAAATTTTGCAATCAAAATGTACAAAAAAATTTAATGAAACTGTTAGTAATCATTATAGCATCAGTCAGCATCAATTAGCTAAGCGTTTCAACATTTATCAATAAACAATCAGTGATAGCTAGTGTTGAGTAGGACTAATTGTTTTTTGCTTTCGGTTTCACGCTTAGTAATACATGTACTAGCAAAAAATGCGATATCATATTCTAGTGGTGTCATTGCGTTCGAGACATTTTGCATAATCTCTAATGTCCTTCCTCTCTTGAAGATTCATTACTTTCTTTTTAAATGCACTAATACTTCGTCTATTTTGTACGTTTATATATTCGACAAATCTGTTGTTTACTTACTTAATCATTTTCACATACACTTTTAGAACACGTGAGTCATGAGAATATGATATCTGATGCAAGTCTTACACAGTCATAAGAGAAATCACTCCTAATAAAAAAAGGGTTAGTCTCAATCTCATTTTGCTCATATCTAGTCGTAAATTACAAAAAAAAAGCACATCAATTATTTTAGACAGTAGCAAAGATAAGTTATAGAAAATTCAAAAAAATGGAAAATTTTCCTATAAACGAATTTTAAAAAATTCTCGCTCTAACAATTATTTACTATGAAGATATATGAGTTAATACTGTTACCATTATTTTGCATTGTATGAAGAATGCGAGTTTATTTTGAAGGAGCTTCTCTTTTGTATTGTGTCGTTTCGTTTTTGAATATGCGATCAATATAAGTTATATAGCGTTTGAAAGAAAAAATTTTCTATCATCTAATATAAAAAAAAAGTTTTCTTTCAGCATCCTTCTCTCGAAGAGAAATAAAAGCCGACATTTATTCAATTTCTTTTGTATCACATGCTTCGTACTTCAGATCAATGTTCGAAAGTAAGTGTATATTGAGCAAATAGATGAATATTTCTAGTGTGGATCAATTCTAAGAAGACTCAATCATCATAGGCGAAAAAAAAAGAATTCTTTTCTTATTTCAACTCTATGATTATCTGAAATTAAGTACAAATGAAACTTTCTGATCATTATATTACTTGATATTATCGAATTTCTTTCTTTGAGTTTAAATATTATTCAATTAAAATAATATTTCTATATTTAATATTTCAGTTGAAAACAATAAACATGAAGATAGTTCATCATATCTACATCCATTTGTTCACGATTGTTATTCAAATGATACATCTATATCAACAACAATTTCATCATCAAATAAAGATATGTCACTTGATAGTCTTGATAGTCCACAATCAAAAGAACAAACAATTCTATCATCAACAACGTTTTCTCGTTCGGAAACATTTGATAAAGTTTTTACTACAACATCATTACCAAATATTACAGATGATATTGATGATTCAGCTAGTTCATCATCATCAACAACATTTAATTTGTCTGAATATATTGAAGATCATTTTATTGATGAAAATGATAGTAGTAGTAATGGTAGTGAAAATTCATCATCATATGAAACAACAATAATAAATAAAAATCTTTTATTAAAACCTCAAAAACGTCTTTTATTTCCTGGTTTATTAAATCGTTTAATATTTTCCCGTCGAATTTTATCTGAATCTGATTTACAACAGAAAAAATTTTTTATTAATGAAAACGAAAATCAATTTCATGTTTATCATTCAAATATAATAAATGAACATTCCGTTGAAATTAATTTAATGAACACATATGGTTCAGATAGTGAATTACATGTTTGGTCAAATAATTGTGCTGAACAAAGAAAATTTCTCTTTGAACGACAACAACAACAACAACAACAATTAACAAATCGAATCGAAGAAAATAAAGTAAATCATGGAAATTATAATCAACAATTAGCACTTGAACGTCAAATATTACTTCAACAGATATATGAATATCCATGGTTATTACAGGAAAATGATCTCGATCGAACGACTATATTATCATCAACAAACATGGAACAACCATTAGCATCATCTTCATCTGATCTAATTGTTCCAACACATAATCCAAATTTCTATCAATTATGTACATTAACACATAGCAGTTCATTTGTTATATCGTATGATCCTAATACGAAACACACTACTACTTCTACAACATCATCTATTTTATAATATGATTTCTCTTTTATTTTATTTTCTCTTTTGAAAATAAAGAAATAGAATGAAACGATAATTGCATTTTTATGTAATATTGAACACGATTCAATATGAATATGATCAAAAAAAGAAATACGTTATTGATCTGTGCCTTATTGGATTTTATGAAACATTGATCAATTTGAAGGCTAAAAGAAAAAGTTATAGTTAAATAAAATTAAATATAAAAGTTATTCAAATTTAAAAAACAAAAACCTTCTTTATCAAATAGACAAACTTACATTCAAGTAAACTCTTGTCAATATTTTCCTTAGTGTCTATTCAGTCATATACACTCGTTCTATTTGTCTGTTTGATAAGATGCTAGCTGAAGACCCGCCCGATGCATAGAGAAAAACATGAAAGAAGTATCATATTTGTTTTTTTTTTCTTATGTTTGAGTAGACATTAAGTCAGATAACGCACATATGTTCAAAATATAATACTCGTTAATTTCAAAGTCGAGCAATGCCGAGGAAAAAAAACTTAATTGAATAATTATACTAAAGTCATAATCTATTTGCTTTTTTTTATTGATTATTATTGAAACTGTTAAATGATTGAACAGACAAATCTTAATTCTAATTCTTCTAAATTATTATTTTATGTTTATGATTTACATTTATCATGATATTTTTTTTATATATAATGTCTCAAGCAGTCATTCAAATTTTTAATTGTTATACAACAGAATAAAAGTACATATTGACTGATGAATTATTTTACTTTCTTTTGCTTCTTTCAAGAAAAAAACAACAACCTTCATTTGATACATTAACTATTTCAAAATCAACCTCCAAAATACAATGTTACTCTTCTTTGTAGTAATATATCTTAGAACATCATTAGCTCTTCTTATTTCTACTGAAAATCGTGTTGCTTCACGAAATTTGACATGTCAACATGATCTACCATTAATGACAACTATATCAACCAATTGTGAAGCATGTCTTATAACATCTCGTAATTATATTATAGAAACAAAACTTTCACTAACTGGTTCTGGACCAGAAGGTTTTTCCTATATATGTTTACAAGTAAATGAAGTTGAAGCCTATCGTGAAAATCTTATACGTGAATGTCGTTATTTTCCACGAAATACACTCAATGGTTATGATGACTTTTGTATTGCTTCACCATATAGTTATCTTCGAGGTTCCTATCGAGCTTGTATATGTACAACAAATACATGTAATTTTAATTATGCACAATGTATTCGACAAATAAATTCTTATTTGAATCAAAAAGCATCTTTATTTAGTAATACAATTGTTGAATTAACAGATAAAATTAAATGTTATCGATCTAATGAAGATATTAAAAAAGAAACATCTTCAAGTTTAACACCATCGTTATGTTCAGATGATGATAATGAATGTAAAAATTATTTATTTGATCATGGTGTTTTATGTATGATTAGTATTGATCGAACAAATCGAATAACTAGACAAACTTTAGTACCATCAATTTATTCAGCTTATTTAATAAAGTATAAAACAGAATTATGTAATTCGTTTATATCAACAACAAAAAGTATTTATTTTTCACAATGTAAACAAGATGATATTGTATGTATGTGTGCATATGATGGATGTGATAAAGATTTAGAGACATGTCGAACAAATCAAGGAATTCGTAATAACTATTATTCAATTTTATTTTTGTTGATATTTCTATTGAATATCTATATCACTCATAAAAATTAGATTATTCTTTTTTTTATAATAAAGTTTTGTAATACAAATAATTTATAAGTCGAGATAAATGACAAGATGATAGTTGGTTGGATTTAAATAACTCTTATTTTAGACCATGTTTAGTGTACAGCCGTTTGTGATGTTGAAAACGCATAAACGGTTATATAATTCTCGAAAACAAAGATAATATTACCGAATCTTGAAGAATCAAGCCTGTGTTTTTTTCTCTAACTTTATTCATCAATTTTATAAAAGTCATTTGATTTCATAAATTCTTAAAAGTATTTTTAAATATTTGTTGTTAGCACGTATGTTTTCTCTTTCGCAATCAGCTTGATGATTTTTACATGTGGTTTATCATTTTTCTTTTAAATCGTTACTCAAATCAAATGACGAATTAATTTTATAAAACAAAAGAACTCAAGTATCGTACCATTTGAATAGATCCATATAGATAAGTGAAGTATTTTCAAATCATACCCACAATTCTATTTTCTAGAAACTGTGGCTACTAAAATTATTCAGCAGGATTTACTTTCAATGTTTTTCCGTAGCGTTGAACCCTAACAAGTATTCGAATAAAGAAAAGGGTAGGATAGTGTGTGTGAGTTGAAATAGGAGGTACATTCACATCCATACTCTCGTTCTATAAGTGAGTTTTGATGCTAGAATGTAATCAATTATGAGTAAAGAGGAATCTTTTATGATTGGTTGGTACCAGATACAGTGGATGATTCGATACGATTAATGCGGCGCAGTAACACTTATCTGCTTCTCGATAATCGTAGTCTGAGACAGTTCTTTCCATTACAATCAATGAATTGCAGTTACGTGCAGAACGGTTCCTGTGCGTAACTGTGACGCACGTGTTAAAAAAAAGGTGACATGGATCAATTTAATAGTTTATTTTCTTCTTAGTTTTTCTTTTAAAACAAGTTAGAAATTCACAAAAGTATGTTTCAATCAACCGTAATTGTTAACTTTAATATCATTACTTCTACCATAGAAGGTGGCCGAAATCGATTATAAGTAGGAAGAAATACATTTTTCTCTTCCAAACATGTTATATCCATAGATAATATATATTCATCTGGAAATTGCTCACAGATATATTTTAAATAAGATATGATATCCTTTTGCGAAATAGGATCTTCTTCGCGAAACTTTGTAATAATGAGTTTAAATAAGTCTTTATGGTTACATATAATAGCAATTTCTTTAAACATTTCCATGTGATTTTTATCAGTGCAATATTTTGGTTGACCAGCTGAAGTGAAATTAGATATAGCTGAATCGTTAGCCACAAATAAAACTGTTCTATTCGGTGCTGTTGGCCATTGACCATTCATTTGTAAATCATTGTCATTAAATTTCTTTAAAAAATCATAAACACTCTTAACATTCTTATATATGCTCAATAATTTAGTAGGATCCATTGTTTAATAGTATAGTTATTTCTAAAAACAATCCATATTCACATTTATAATCGGTGAAAAGTTAAAAGACAGCTGCTTGGTTTTTACTTACTTAATTAAATTTTCTTCAATCCCAATATTAAAAAAGCTGATTGATGGTAACTGAAAACGATCTTTTTATTAATATATGAGTTAAAAACAGACTATGTGAGTACCATTTAATATCGATGATACTTACATAGAGAATACGGTTGACCTGACAATATATTCTATCGGAGGGGGTAGGTGTAGGCGTGGATCTTTTGTGCAATCGCAGCCACACTCTGCGAGAGGATCCTACTGATCGGAAGGAATGAGATACAGAGCTCAAGTTTTCAGTGAATATATACCTCTATGAACTTCAGCTCCAGCAAAACCTTCAAACCTCTATCTTGTCTCAAGTACGAGTTATGAAGGACCAAAGTTGCCTAAAATGTGGATATGGGGACACACTGGATAAGTCATAAAAACCTAAAGACTCAATATTTTGAGTCGAAAATTTCATTATAAATGAGATTTATCGCGGTATATGTTCATGAAAAATTTCAGTGCAATTAGTCGAGCTATTCATGAGAGATGGTGTTATCAAGACTTGTCTGGGTCAAACTGCAAATCTTTAGGACTTCTCGTAGAACGTTCATCAAAAATCAATGACTTAATATTTCTCAAAATAGCTTGCGTCAGCACTCATAAAACTGGTCCGTTCGCAACATATCTTGGATAGAGCAAAATCTGTTTGAAAACTGTTTCTAATAGGTAAGCGTCAGTAGTGGTTAGTTCTAAAGTGCAAGTTCATACATTTCTCATAAGTGATAGAAACCCTGCTTACAAGGTAAAGGATATAGCTAAGCCCTATGAAATATCTCTATAATGCCAAACACGCCGAACAGTGATTTTGAGTGTGTCAGTATGTAGGATATTTACGACGGTATATATCCTCAAAACTTCGCGACCAAAAACATAATAATTGAAAAATGGCGAAATCTTTTATCTACTATTCCCTTATCTCGCACTCAAGAACGTCATAAATAAACTTTCTTCCTGGCAGAAAAAAACATCTACATCTTTTGAACAGAAATAAAACTTAACGATCGTGACGTAATCAATATCTTCAAATAAGACCATAACCCCAAACAAATTTGCTCTCACCGAGGGACACCTTTGGCAAATAAAGTTGCCTTTCTTCTTTAAGTTTTCAGACATTGATATTTGTCATAAATAATGCACATTTTTCTTTATGTGGTCAGAACCCACTACATCCATACACAGGCTTTGAAGCTTCTTGTGTGTTTCATCAAGAGTGTAAGTGTGGGTGAGAATGTGTGACTGAATGGGAGATACACCCACCCCATAATAAGCGAATAAAAAAGAAAATCAATCACAATTAGACATGAGCGATTACACCTTCAAACGTATTTCTATAATTTTTCAGTCATATTAGTTTAAACATAGATATGAATCATAATCAACTAAAACAAATAGGACTAGCCCAGTCGTACAAAAAGTTGAGTTGACATTGCTATACGATTTTACTTCGATAAACGATCAATTAACACTTTCTATAGATATCAGGATGGAGTATGGCCGTGGGTTCGTGTGCGTGTTGGTTAATGGATGATTAACATTCACATTCACATTTACAGCCGTACAACACACCTCTTCTGTAATTCTGGTGTACGGATTTTAGTGCAGAACAAGGTAAATAATCGGAATAAGCTAGAAAATCACCGACCGAACTCTGTCGCCGTGTAGCAGCGAATTTCGAACCCATCCCATAAGATTCGACCAACTGCAGTTGACCTTGGGAGTATGCTAAAGACATTATTATCATTAAACCACCTGATAGAGGTCGGCACAGCAGAAACACGAGTCATGGTAGCCCAATTCTCACACGTCCATACTCACATCCGATATACACAGCAGGAATAGTTGATAGCTTTTTTTCTGATATAATTCAAAGATTTTGATAAACATACGGTAGTAGCTGACAATTTCCAGGGCGAACGGAGGACATGATTTTGCGAAAAAAAACATACTTCTTCAAGACCAAAACTCGATTTGAATCCATTTATTCGCTCGGACAATAATGAAATGTCAGTTGATTCTCTCATATTTGTTTTGCTACTGGTATGGCTAATGTTTCTGCTCAATTTGGGCGACCAACTTTCACCACTCACCCAATGTAACGATCGACGCAAACAATACCCGGGTATTCTGCGTGTAAAACGGGTCAAGATACACTAAAACGTGGTTTTTATGCTGGAGGTGGGGTGTGGGTGTGAACGGGTGAAGAGAAGCCCTGCACCGACACACTTACAACCTACATCCACATTCTCTTAGAAAAAGGTGTCATAAGGAACCATTGAGGGTTTTGGCGAAAATGCGGAACTTTTAAGGTTATATTTGGTTATTATTAAACCATCAAAAGTTCTAGAAAATTTGAAGAACTATTTCATGTAAAAGAAAAGCGTTCTATCTGTTTAACACAGTTCTATCACGCCCCATTTTTTTGATGCTGAACTTCTTTTTAGAAATTCAGCAATCAGAAACACTACCAATTTAAATAGTTCCTATATTCAAGTATTTATCATTCATTTTGTGATTGCGTTTGCATATTTCATTAGCATATTGAGACATCATATTTTTCTGTGCAGAGCTACTTCTGGGGCAATATAAAAAGCATTGAATATGCCATCATCAAAATTTTGTCGCTAAACTGTTGAGATGTGAACATTTTGCCGACAGAAACAGAGTTTTCTGCACGCTCAACAGTTCTCTATGTTTAGATTTCATGAATCACTGCAAATAATAAGTTTGATACGGCTATTGCGACGTTAATTATTTGGCTGAATTGATATAAACAATTGTTAAATCTTTTCTGTATGATATATTGCTTGTTTAGCGAGCATTTTCAAACCATTCAAGTATATTTCTTCTTGCTTCGCTTGACTTTCGTTGCCTTCAAGTTAATTTAGAGAATACAACATTTATTCAATTTCAATTTAGCACACAGAAAGACTAATAAACACAGAAGACAGGGGCAGAATGCAAGAGTCCGAGTTGATTTACCAGTATGAATGCAGATATAGAAATAAGGGGTTAAGGATAGAAATAAGAGGTTACATATAAGAACAAAGGTTAGATATAGAATTTATGGATTAAAAATGAAAATAAGCAGTTAGATATAAAAATGAGGGGTAAGATATAAGAATAAGGAGCTAAGAATAGAAATAAGGAGTTAAAGATAGAAGTCATGGGGCGAACACAGAATTAATCAGCAGTACCAGACTAAGTGTATGGAATGAACTGCTTTTTACCAGGGTAGAGCTTTTTTTGAAACAAGAAAAAGAAAGTTCGAGATAGAACCATATTTTGCTGGAACCTTAAATGATTCAGAAAATGGCACCCAAATCTAGAACCATGAAAAGTTCAGTAGGACATCTTTTTTTATTTAGAGAATGGTGTCCTGTCCTGCAGTCTGCCGTGGTGGAGTAAGGAGGGAGCAAGACAAAATAGGAGAGAAAGGTATTTCTGTGTTCGCCTTTAGTTTAGAACTTGATAAAGGAAACTAGGATTTAATCCTTTGCTATTTTTGATGGAGCATCAAGATGTATTTCTCCATTTGTCCCGATATGCCCGATCTATCCAATTAATATCTGCTACCACAGCTAGTGTAGAGAAACAACTCTCATTAGTCGATTTGATTATTCAAGAAAGAGGAACTAGCTTTTATTTTAAACAGCCGGATGACATTTTACTGTTTAGATCCATGCAAAAAAATAAAATATTTTGTATAAAAATATTTTCTTTGTTTTGCATATGGTTTTCTTTTTCTTTGTATTATGTTTGTCACCTATATTTTTTCCTTTCTCTATTTATTCTATTAATTGCATCTACTGTACGTTAAGATAGCAGTGATAAAACGCCATAGGGTCATATTTTTGAACACTTTTTTTCCTCTAATGAACATGTCATTAAAATAATACTTCAAGATGTTCCTGGATTTTTTTGTGTTTATAAGATTATTCATTATTGAAGATCTGAGTTGTTGTTTTTGAGAATTATATGAAATGAATAAGCAATGAGATGCTTAGTAAGCTAATATATACTGTGGTGATCGAACATCAAAATGAAGATTCTTGCCGTTTTGATTAATGCTTTGTTCTGTCGTCCGCGCGCCAGTACAAAGTAAAGCAGCAGGACAGGGCTGTCCACTTCTGGAACTAGGGATGTGATAACGAGAAAAAAGTAGGAGCAAGAATACAAGGAAGTTTTTCGAGAGCGGAAAATGTGCATATACAATTTTTTAAAAGTGGAGAGACACTGAACTTTCTTTTCTCACTTTGCGACTGAGTTTTTAATAAAACAAATACTGTTTCAGCTTGAAAAAACTGGAAATTTCCTAAAAGTGGAGATGCACACTCCCTGCACCATCCCTTATCCTCATATCCTTCTCTGGAACCGATATATCTGACCTTCGTGATCGTGACCAAAAACTTGCTTACGCGGGTACTAGTGATAAGACAGGTAAAAATTCTTTTATTGCTTCTGAACTGAACTTTTCTCTTCGATGATCGTTTCGACGATACATCGATAATCAGATAAGTAAACAATTTTTCTTTCAAGAACTGAAATTTTCTTCTATTTAGTTCGTTCGTTCATCTTGGTTCCTCAGAGGCCAACAATCTTCGAGTTACCACGCGATATGTGCCATTGAAAGAGCAGAAAAAAAAAGTTTTTTGAGCAATTAGTAAGTTTTTCTGTAGCTCTTGTTTAGTAGAATTTTTTGGAAATAAATAGCCTATTTTCGGTAGTGACACCTGGTTGAGTCTGTCAGTTATGACAGGGACGAGCTAATAGTAGATTGGGACATTTATAGAAGAGGTATCTGCGAACACTGTTTGCAGCTTCTGTAATTGATACCGCCGCCTGTTAACGATTACACAGCGGTTCCTATCCATCAGAAGGATTCGTCCTGGGGA